TAAGTGCTGAACCAGTAAGAGGTCTGAACCATTAAGTGCTGAACCAGTAAGAGGTCTGAACCATTAAGAGCTAGTATATTGTTTAACTATTCAGAGGCAAATGTCTGATCAATTCAGATAAGAGCTCTTAACCATTCAGACTCTGTATAATACTTAACCATTCAGAGGCAAATCTCTTAACCATTCAGACATCTAAACCATTAAGAGGCTCAAACAAACAGTCTGAACCATTAAGTCCTGAATCATTCAGACATCTGAACCATTAAGAGGCTGAAACAAACAGCCCCTTAGTATTTTATATTGAAAAGTATTTATTTGACATAATTTAAGATATTGTTTGTTGTCTAAATGTGATGCACCATTGATTCATGATTTACAACAAGGTAACATGCATTTTTTTTTATTAATGAACTCTACAGAAGCAACTCAATTTAACCATGGAGATTGATTCACTTGTTCAACGAACCGGTTCGAAATCGCCAATTCTCAATACCGTATTCAGTAGCACTGCCATCAGCACTGGTGGTTGGTGGTAGTCTCAATATGGTTCACGAGCACTTCTCGGCTGATTTTGATTATTTAATAATCGAAAGTAGCTTAACAATGTAAATTCTTTGTATTTAGAAAAAAATGAAATGTAAAATCAAAGTAATGGAAGTATCTAAAATTTTAGTTTATCAAATTAATTAAGACTCAAGCAGACATGTGTAATTTACATTTCAAAGCCCGGTTGGAAGAGAAGAAAATAATTTCTAGAAAATAACTTATGGAAAATGAGTTATTTTCAGAAGTCATTTTTCATTTATTTTCTTTTCTTGATGTTTGGAGAAAATCTGAAAAAAAAACAGAAGTAGGGTTACGAAGAGAAGGAAGAACATTGACGATTATGGACGAACAGATTGAGGCGGCGATGGTGGGCACAAGGATGTTGGTTGGGGAAGGCAACAAATACGATGATAAATGAGCGATGTCTACCTTTTCTAGCATGGAGGGTGGCGATGGTGAAGGAGGGTAGTGGGTGACGATGGTGGATGAATTGAGGAGAAAATATCGACGACAACTACGACAATCTGCTACGTACTCATTCAGCCCCAGATCTGCATTAATCTTGATCTCAAAATTTTCCTCCCAACCTTGGTGATCCAGTATCAATTATTGAATTTAAAGTACTAATTCTACTAAATAGAACACAATTTATTGAGAACTAACTTTTATTATATTTAATCCCAAAATCCATAATTCTATTCCAACTCGAACTAGAATATGTATTCCTAATCCTAATTAGATCATTGGTAGTGGCGAGGCAAATGCCCGCCATGCCATCCCACATTGGCTTTGCCATGTTTGAATGCTCCATCCCTCCATGCAAGTCATGTCTTGTGCGAGGCAGTCTTCTTTTTTTATTTTTTTGTAGAATTTTTTTTAAAATGAAGTGCATATATTTTTATGAAAAAAATAAGTAAATTTCTTTTATAATTAAAATATGTCATAGAAGTGTAAAAAATGACAAAAATAATTACTTGATACTGCATGACATGCCACTCCACCCACACGGTAATTAAATTTTTTTTGATTGGTTGAAATACTCTACGTCACCGTGTGACATTCCATTTTTTTTACTTCTCATTGCCAATGTTCTTAGCCAACATATAGTACTCCTTGTAATGGAAAATTTTCTTTTTCTTTTCCCAATTCAATTTCAAAGTGAGGCCCAAAAAAGTTAGAGCGGCCACCTTACGGCTTCCGCACTCTCCGCCGCCCTGTCCGGCCCAAAAACGTGACCGGAGTCACACCGGCGAAGACTTCTAGCTACAGTAGTCTGAACTGGAGCTCTAACTTTCCATTGTTTCTTTTTTGCTCAAACATGCTCCAAATTTGAAGTGTAGATCAGCCAAAGTTCCAACTTTTCTTGTCCAACGGAGTCGTACTATCCAGCGATTTAAGTTTCTGCTTCAGAATTTGAAAGGTTAAGATCATGGAGTTCACTTCTAAGCATTCGTAGTCATCTGTTCGGTTTTGTTACCACTTTTTTATGTTTAAGTAATGTGAATCGGTCAATTTGTTTGAGTATTTAGTTGAACCCTTGAATAATTTGTACATTACTGAAAAATCTGGGATCGAAGTTAAATTTGATGGTATTGAATTCGTAGTTCATCGTGATTGTACAGATTTTTTGGATTTGAACTTGACTTATTTTGATTATTTTTTAGGGCAGAAGGAAGCATTGGTTTTTGTTAGGTGATCTAACCTCAAGTAGATGACGCTGAGGTTGTTTGCACCTTCATCCTCTGTTATCCAAAAAGTTTTTCAGTAACTCTTTGCCAAGATGGCTACGCCTATCCGCAGGTTCTTGAGTTTTTAACTGCTTACCATGTTGTTTTATACCATTATAAACTGGATTGGTGCATTTAACTGGAATCCAACTCACATGGCTAGGTTGATTGAGGGATTTCCAAGAGGGATTTTGGAGGGGAGCGAATGATTGATTAAAAGAGAAAAAAGACTAAATTATATCTATTTTTTGTTAGTATTTATCCTAGAAGTTAATCTACATTTTGTAAAAATAGAATCCCCAAAAACTTGAATCAAGTATTTCTATAGAATCTTTTAAGAATTATTTATTAAAATAAATATCACTCATCCCCTTCCCCCTCCGGTATCATCCAACCAAACAAGGGTTAAGCTCTCCTTTGGATAGGGAGCTGATTCCCGGAAATTCCATTATTTCCTAGGATTATATATTCTTCCAATGTTTGGACTCAGAAAACCTGGAAAATAATTGATTTCTGCTTTCTCAATTCCTCTCACGTGACTTTGGTTTTACTTAATTTACAGAAATTTGATGAACTTTTTCCCCATGCATGGTTTTGTTTGATTTCAATCATACAATTCCCTACCATTCAATTCCAACTCCCAAGCTAAAAGAAACAAGGCCTTACTGTTCTTCTCTTACTGCAGCTCAATTACGAGGAGACAGGCTGGAACTATGAGACTCATACTAACAACTTTTGTCGGGATTGTATTTGGATTCTTCTTAGGCATTTCCTTTCCTGCACTCTCATTGACAAAAGTAGGCTGACCATTTGTTTCCATTTATAATGTAAAAAACATTTATTTTATTATGTATCTTACCTTTTTGAGTTTTCTCATTCACAGATGAATTTTTCAAGTATCATTGCTTCCACTAACCATACTTATGTTGAGGACAAGAACTCCGGTCTTTCAACTCAAACACTGTTAAACGTCTTGTCTTTCCTGAAGGGTAGTAGAGGTGACTCACCAAGAGACATAAGGCCAAAGGTTATTAATTCATTCTTCAAATTAGTATGTGCTTGCAAGGGCATTTTCTTGGAACCAAATGAAAAGAAAGTGCATTCAACCAATACATTAAGATATTTGGGTCAGCAACTTTCCACTCTTGGTCTTCACGAAATCACAACTATTAGGTCACCTCCACTTTTGGTTCACCTTTGGTGCTTGGCTTTTAAATTGTTGCCGCTTTTGGTCCATCTAGACATTAGGTCATTAATCTCATTAAATATGAGTAGAAAATCTGGTGGGGAAAATGTCACATTTTCCCTTCAAATGACAGAAATGCCATTGTAAGTTGCAAATGCATTGATTAAATCTAATGCCAGGATTTGTATTTATCCTAGTTTATGGCTGGGGGGGACCAAAAGTGGTAGAATTTAATAGATATCCGCAGATTGGGGAAAACAAATGCAGGGGGTGAAGGTGGAAGTGTCCTTTTAGCCGTGGACCCAAAACTACAGTTGAAATAATTCTAAAAGCTACTCTGTATATTATTTCTGTTGCATAGGTGAAGACATTGTTTTCCTGGAATGACAAATAAACTATCTCTTGCTTCCTCTAATGTGATGAGTGATGGTGTTGCAGATTTGGGTTCCAACAAACCCTAGAGGAGCTGAGAGGTTACCCCCAGGGATTGTTAATGCTGAGTCTGATTTTTACCTTCGAAGACTGTGGGGCTTACCTAGTGAGGTTTGTGCTTTCCTCCATGGCCAGATATGTAGGATACATTCTAAACCACACATTTCTGCTACAAAGATGTAATCTAATCCATACTATAAGCGAAAATTGGATAAAAGGTATTCTCCCCATCCCCAAAAAAGTCCCGTTTCAGAACATTTTTTTTTGTAACAAGAAGGGTGTCATGTTTCAAGTCTTTCAACAAACAAAACTTATTTTCATTGGATTCAATATGTTTCTTACAAAATAAAATGTTCCAAACAAGTTGACTATGTTAAATTTAGTTTGACATGCAAACTAAAACAAAAGTTCGAATGTATAATTTTGCAAGTTGTACCTCACTAAAATATAGAAGCTTTGCTTCTGGGGAAACGATTAGAATCATGAGTCTTTTCTTGAGGTGGGGAGTAGTACCTATCTAGTCTATTGTATAGATATCTAGATTTTAGATAATTCTCTATCTAAGGATAATGAAAAAAACAATTAAAAATGGTATCCTATTGGAGGGTAAGAGCTTCCTTTGAAGTTTAAACATTTTCACACATCACAAGGCTTGAAACTAAACATAGAAATATTCTGGCCTTCTCTTCATTTGCTGAAGAAATAGTGCACCATCTACAAAATTCTTGGCCTTCTCTATATTCTGCTAGGAATGGCATGAGGCCCTCTACTACCATTAAATTACTTTTCGTGTTGAGCTTAATTTTTATTTATATCTTGCTCGCTCCTCCTTCATTCTCTTATGTATGTGTGTGTATTGAATTAATCTGCAGGACT